GGACCCGGGTTACTGACTGCTGGTTGTATTAAATCATCGCCATATTGGCACTGACTAACGGCACTTCGTGCACGGACTGTTGAATTCTCGTTTAATTTATTGTGTTAATTTCACTATTGTTTAAAATGTAAACAAAATCTTGTTACATTTCCAACCTGTCATGTAAAGCTGCATGTCTAGTACATTTTGAAGGACACGTATGCATAAGACTATACATGTTTAGAGTGCATAGTTAAGAATAGACTTTAAAATTGCAAACTATAACGGTATTTAGGTTACCGGTCTTACAAATAGAAATAAGACAAATAGAACTTGCAACGGGAGTCGAAAGCGCTTTCAAATCAGACATAAGAAGCTCGTACTTACCGCAAAAATGAAATGAACGCGACACAAGTCTCCTATGTCAGAGAATATTAGTAAAGTATAACCGCTATCAAATCCACACAAAAATCCAAGGCACTCATTTTATTTTAGAAAAGAATAACTGTAGGCTCGATAGAAGAGCCTATTCTACATGAACCCCAAATCAATGGTAACTGTCAACTTGTATGTTGTCATTCTCGTGCAGATTTGTTTGAATAACAGAAATGTCCCGTGTATCAAAGATCAAAGAATAAAATCGCACGTAGCCACTCTTTGTTGTTTTTATGCGAATTCAATTTATCTAAAAGGAGCTCCGGCGCAATTTAAGGAATTATTTTTGAGCCAATATTAACCATCGCCAATTTTTTATATCATGGGATAAAGTCAATTAACAAACAATACGGGTCTACTTTATTACAAAAACATTGGTGAACTTACCATTTTGTCTAAAATCATAACGCTAATCAACAAACAATACTATTGTTCTTTATTACAAAAACATCGGTGAACTATATTGTTTTTGTACATATTGTATTTATTTATTTGTTTGTACTATATGTTATACCTGATGAGTCTTTGGCTTAAAGGAATAAAGAATTTAAACTCGAACTAATCGCTGTCGGGATGGCGAGCCAAGCTAGTTGATTATTAGGTAAATAAAACAATATAAACAACCAATGAGTAAAAGTGATCTATTCTAATCAATTAAATAATATACAAGTCAAGTACCGGTATTACCTTAACCGTGGACGGGTTTGCTTGTGGACGGGTTAACAGACACTCAACTTACAAATATTAAATCATCGCCGTATTGGCACTGACTGACGACACTTCGTGCATGGACTGTTGAATTCTCGTTTAATTTATTGTGTTAATTTCACTATTGTTTAAAAGGTAAACAAAATCTTATCTCGAGTACGTAGTACCACTATATCGAGCTAGTCTAGTAAGTAGTAGGCTAGGTTAATCCAGACTAAAACGAAAGTCCTTTTATTGTATTAATAACATTGGCTTCTGGTAGACTCGATTGTCATCTAAGGGATTATATTTTCTTTGCGCGGTCTATTGTTATCATTAACACAAAATGACAATTAAGGAAGTGTGCGAAAAAGTCTTTATACATATTACAATAGATAATCTTTGTAATAAAGTAAAGTATTTTCCCTCTTATATATACTTTTTGTTGTTTTTCGAGTTTTAGGCCATTAATACTTATTTTATGCATATTTTTGGTATGAACTTTTTTGGACCAGTAAAATCTCATTCGGTCCAGTAATAGTTGGAATAATACCTGCCCAAATGTCCAGTAAAAAAAATATCATTTCTCATAGACTGCCGGAAAGAGTGGGAGTGTTTAAAATATCAAAATATGGGTATTAATACGAAATTCCAGTTATTGTGTTATAATAAATTGGCTGTCTGAATCTATCAATGATTTCCTGGCACGTGCATGATTACGCACGGTCGTTTAGATAGTTTCTTATGGTGTGCCAGCTTGATTTACTGTTATCGTGCGGTGAATATCCTTATAGTGTGCTGGTTTATAGTGTGCTGGATTTCCGTATATGTTAATAAGTCACGTGATATCCTACATTTGCATATGAAATTTGATGCTGTGTGAAAGTTGCTATGTAGAAAGCATGAAGGACAAATGGGATGTGGCAGAGCGCAAATGTAAAATGTAATGAGAGGAATGTAAAATGTAGACACGTCAAAAAAAAGCATTTTCCCACAAAACATTTGTTATTTAACACTTAACATTTGACGTTTTACATTTAACTCTTGCTTTAGAGCAGGGGCGGATCCAGGCATTTTTGCAGGAGGGGGTTTGCCAGGTTCCTGAGACAATGTATCCCCCCCCCCCCCCCATCGTCTCTATCGTCATTTTGGCTTATATACATACACATTGAGCTTAATCAGTATCCAAATGCTTATCACATATATTCTCATTATTAATTTTTGTTTTCGACTGTGTTATAAACATGTCAAATCTTTTGGACTGTCTGTGTATGACTAAACTGCTTTGTCACATGCATTCATGAGCATATGCATGTTGTTTTAAGAATATACCCATCATTTGTGGCTTGTTCTTTTAGAAAACTATCCATTATTTGTATCTCTATGGTGCTATGTTTTAAGTTTGATAATAGCCTCAGACTGTCCATTATGTAAATAGAAATCTAAATTTTAGTAGATACTTCAATTTTGATTGGCTAAGCACTAAAATCAATCTAATATTATCCAATCAAATTACTAAAATTTGGATTTTATCTGAGTTAAAATTTCGTGAAACAGCCCCCTGTACAGACGATATAAGTGGTTGGGATTTCCAATTGCACAAAATCGCATCAGATCACAAGGGCGACAGAAATAAGCATGGCCTATAGGGATTTTCCCGAATTACGAGTTCGTGTACGTATGAATTTTAAACGCCAAAATATAGAGGAATTGTGTATTTACCTTGTCTGAAAAGTTCAGTTCAAAATATTGAGTGGTTTGGACGTGAACGTCAAAACTGCTTATCCGGGCACTAGCATTTTTAAATAGTTCGGGTCAAACTTTTCGTTGGCCACTTGATAAGCGCGACTATATTCGATACCTATTCTAAACTTAATCAATAGAGAGCTTTGACGGAGTCTGATTGTTGGCGGTAAGCGATAACTTGAGAAAAGAAATCTGATTGGATGTTTATTTTTACACAGCCAATCGCTATAGTTTACCCGAACATCGGCCTAAATTATGATTCAATCGTGTCAAACTGAAAGAGGGAGTTTGGTGTCTTGTTCAATTCATCATGAATAACACTCGAAAGCGTCAAAGAGAACAAACAGTTACAGATACTGCACAGAAAAGAAGAAAGAAATAGTTCATGCGAGGTTACACAGCCCAGAAAAAGACGAATGTGTGTATTTATGTGGAAAAGTAGCGAGATGGAAATTGGAATGATTTCAACAACAAAGCCAACTTCACAAAGACGTTGCCAATATGTAATGAAGTCATAAAAACTTTTAAACCGGTATGATATTTTATTGGAGGAATCATCTGTAAATAGTGTAAATTAGTAGTATTATCTTTTTGGAATCATCAATTTTTATTAGAGACGTATGTACTCACAGCTTTCATTTTTAACAATTTATTTATTTATTTTTTTTTTATAGTAATATTACATCTATAGTTTCATTCAGTTAGTTTTGTTTTTGTTGGCTCTGTTCGAAAGAAAAAATAAAAGGGCCAAGAATGTTTTTAATTTATTATTCTGTGTGAGTTACCTTCCCATTTATTTCTATGCTTGTGTACTGAACTACAGGCCTACCAGTACATGATGTAAACATAGGAAAAAATAAACATCAAATACAAAGACTTATTTATTTTACAGGCACACGGGAAATATATTGAGTCATTCCATGCCAGTAAGTTCCAGGTAATTGCAACCAATACAGACCTGTAATTGTAGTTCAAACTAGGCCTAGTAGTTATGATGATTTATCATGATTTTCAAGTTCGACTGGGTGACCGAATGATTGAGGATCAGAAATGAAATGGGGGTTTAACGTCCTACTGATGAAGTCCGGCATATGCTACAGTGTGCTATGAGGGAAATTTTTCCTAGGCAGCAGCACTATGGCCTACTCTTGCGTTGAATTAGACTGTCATTGAGTCCATTTGTGTGATTGCACTAAAAACCGATGCGCAAGCGAATTATTGAAATAAAATTGAACCATTTAAGTCCTAGTTAGACCTAGTTTGTGTTGAGTGCACATTAAACCCTCTTGTTTCACGTTCCTTCTTTAAAAAGTACTCTTTTAAATTGAAAGAAAGATGTTTCACATCAACAATAATAATTTATTTGACATTATTTTGCAGTCCAAAGGTTTACCATGCAAAATGTTTGTTGGTAACAGTTGATTTTAATTTGCACGCAAATCGTGAACCACTAAAATGAGCTGACAGAAACATTAGGTTAGTTTTCCCCTTATGTAATAACATTCAACAATATCTAATAAATGACCCGTCCCACAGTCATGTAAGAAACTAATTGGTCAATTTTAACCATGGATCAAATGTGTTTATAAAATATGAGAAAACATCAAATTATTGTGTCTCATCTCTGTACAATCAAACTGTGATTTTGGAGCTGGCTCACGAACTTTGGGGTCCTAGAAAGTTTTTCTGCATTATCAATCCTGGTTTTCTAAGGTCAGCAATAAAGGAGGGGGGATGTGTATACCATTAGCAGCATGATACTGTTCTCCTGACAATTGAAGTTTCACTGTTCGGACAATTTCTCACATATAACACTGCATGACATATGCCCATTTCCTTTAATATTTTTAATTTATTTATTTTTCCGATATAAAATAAATACTCAAAAAGATCGGCAACGTTGTCAGCAGTACCTTTAATCTGGGGCAGTCATACCCAGACCCAGCTGATCCAACGAGAATACAAAGATCCCCCTCCACAAGTCCACCCACTCTAGAAGATATTGTGAAGAAACAGACCACAAAATTTTAAGAATATTACAGAATATAATATATACTGACCAAAATTAAATATGCACAATATAAAACAGGAATATGTTTTAATAGCATCAATGTTTATTAAACATGCATTATGCAAGAAGTAAATGTGCCTATTGCAGGTCTTTCTTTAGGTCTGAAATGTTATATAAACTACATGTATTAATTAGACATTTATTATAATAAACTCTTGATGTCATCTAAGGTGTCCGATTTTCATTGGATTTGAATCTGATCTGCTGTTCACCGTCTGTTGATTAAACGCAACAATGGATAATCAAGACTTTGTTTATTATCGTGAAGCTACAGTCATTTTTAAACAAAGGTTTTCTTGGCGGTAACAATGACAATTTAGGCTACAGTCATTTTTACAATAAGGTTTTCTCGGCTTATAGTGAAGCAATTTGACTGAAATTCTCAGCTTATTCCATTTACATCATCTAGTTTTAACTATAATAGTGAGAACTGCCAGATCTTTATCTAATCCACCATAATGTATCTTTAACTAATAGAAAAAAATGTTTTGTTTGATAATTTGGGTAGGTCTTTTGAACAGTGCTCCTTTATTCATGGTTATGCCCATTTCTCAGGATACAGTTTGATATTACTTGTCTGATTATCTCTTCCAAGTCGACTGTGCCTCCAAATCTGACGGTAGACAGGAAGGCGAAACCTTTTCTGTTCGTCATCATCTGGCACCCTAACAAAATGTCATCTCTTGTTTGTAATGCGATCTAAACCCCCTCAATACTGATCAATTTCCTGAAAGTAAAATGTTAAAATATGTAAAAATGTATTATAGTTTTATATAACTATTAGTTGTTTATTGTCAAATATTTTTTTTTTTGTATTTTGTAAACAGAGTTTGTCCTGAATGTAAATATTAAGAGTCTCTGAATAAACCAGTTGTTGATGTGATAATTATTTGGTTGTCATCAAATCACAAGTTACCATAAAGAAATAGTGAAATCACCGGTATTCCAACTATAAAAGTTAACACTGCATGAAGTTTTAGATTTTATACTTGACATCTACTTACCGGTCTTGTCTTAGAGATAAGCAATTTTGAGGCAAAAGTTTATAGCATAATTTTTTGTCGGTGGTGGTGGAGACGTGACTGGTGTGTCTCTATCTGCAATAGTCAAACTGTCGCAAATTTCAAACCCGGTTGTCTTTCTATTATGACAAACAGTAATTCCATTCTTTTTTTTTTATCATCCAGCTGTGATATTAACATCTGTCAATATTAAATGTAATCTTGATGTAATTAAATATTTTTTTTTGTAATTATATAATAAATTAGCTCAAATGACAGCCAAAGAATTGAAAAGATTTTGTTTTTATACATATACTATTCAAAAAAAGTAGGGGATATTTGATTTTGGGGGCATAATACTAAAATATGCAAATGACTACGAAAAAAGTCACTATAGAACCTAACAGAAGAAACATTTCCAGTTACATGTGACGCCCAAACGCACCAATAGCTACCGCATGGAATGCAGGTGATGCTTGGGATCATCATGGGGGTCCAACCCAAGATTTGCACGACTCTGACTTTGAATGTTACAGTCATTGTGGCATTGAATTCCAGGGTGGAAACATCAGTTTAATTGTTTTAGTGACCAGAAAACAAATTTTGATATGCGTCGGCTTACCCAAAATGAAAGGTTACGTGCCCTTGGCATGCTACAGATCGGCACAACACAGGCGGTTGTGGCGCGGACAATGAATGTTTCTCAGTCTGTCATAAGCAGGCTATGGTCCAGATACCGTGATACACAATCTGTACAGGACAGACCACGCTCAGGTCGACCAAGGGCGACAACTCAAGCCCAGGATCGATTTATCCGTACCTTGGCCTTGAGAAATCGTGTCATCACAGCAAATCAGATCAGCGCTCGTCTTCAAACAGACACTGGTGTGAGAGTGAGTGGCCAGACGATTCGGAATCGACTGCATAGGGGTCACCTTCGCGCCCGACGTCCTCGCGTGATCCCTTGTTTGAGAGATCATCACATTCAGGCAAGACGTCGTTGGTGTAGGGATCGTCAACACTGGGATAATCGACGCTGGAGCAATGTGATGTTTTCAGATGAGTCAAGGTTCACTGTTGATTTTTTGGACAGACGTAGGAGGGTGTGGCGTCGTCGAAACGAGCGCTTCCAAGACGTTAACGTCATCAGACATGATCGATTTGGGGGTGGTTCTGTTATGGTGTGGGGAGGCATCACTGTTGCTGGAAGAACGTCTTTACAAGTTGTTGCAGGGCATGTTACAGGCCAGTACTACCAGGACAACATCTTGGCAGTCCATGTTGTGCCGTTCGCACGACGTCATGGCCGCCGTTTCATCTTCCAGGATGACAACGCAAGATGTCACAGGGCCAGGATCGTTACAGGTTACCTCCAACAACAGAACATCACCACATTACCTTGGCCAGCACTGAGTCCCGACCTCTCCCCCATCGAGCATGTCTGGGACATGCTTGGACAGAGGTTACGTCAACGTCAACAACGTCCTGCCAATGTCCAAGAACTTGCTGCTGCGTTGCAACAGGAATGGGACAATCTGGACCAAAATGACCTTAGACGTCTCATTAGGAGTATGCCACGTCGGATCAATGCTTGTTTGGCAAACAGAGGAGGATTTACCCGTTACTGACTTGGTTGTGATGCTGTGGTAACTTTGCTGTTTGACCCCGGGTATCATTTTACCCTTATAATGGTCAGTCTGTGCCTTACTTAGTCTAACGATCATTTGGAATAAATCGATGAATGTGAACTTCATTTCATTTTGTCATTTGTTTCTTCGTCAGTTTCATTAGGTGACTTTAATAACACTTAAAAATCAAATATCCCCTACTTTTTTTGAATAGTATATTTGCATGCCATACAAAATGTTAATGATATGACTTGTCAGTTATGTTTGTCGTCATTGGCACTTTAAACAAAACCATTCTGGGTTTGTAACAGGAGCTACACAACCCCCCTCATCTACACTAAGCATAATACAGCATAAGGGTTGTAGTAAAGAAATTACTGTTATTTATACCTGCAATCCATCAATTCTCTGTGATCTCAACCTTGCCGCCCTTTTTTCTGTGGTCTCTGTGACATCTCTTGGATGCCTTGAGACAACATGTCTGTGCACAGTTTTCTTACGCTTTGATGGAGAGGAAGGGTCTGTAAGATGGGTCAGTCGTAGCCTTTTCTGGTGTTGGCAAATCCGGCAAACTTTTAATATTATCAGAACTTGATAGTGGTGTAGGAATAGTGGTGCGTGGATCACCAGCCATTCCTTTTAAAAATACGGGACTACCTGCTATCACTATAAACCATTCTATCTTCCAAATTACAAAGAATCCATTCTGTATTTTAGTATACAAATTACAATGTATAATTTGCAGGTGAAAAGTCCAGCCATTTAGTAGGCCTAGTACCTATCTATTTGATCACACGAAAATATAAAAACAACAACCCATCCTATAATTCCACGGCATATACAAATGGTGTTTAGTTGTGGTTATGTCTATAATATCCATATTTAGCACATAAATGTTGAATGCAGTATAAAAAAACGATCAAACATAATCAACACAGAGCCATGAACGGCTAAGACTCATTGTCACCAGACTAGAATAAACAAACTGAAAGTAACACGGAAATGTCACTGCGCACGCGCTGCACATAGTCGCGTGTTATCCAGGCACTTCTGTATAATGCAAACAGGACACAAGTCTTCACACATTGAGCGATACCGACGATTGGAAGTTTTTTGGAAACGTATCACATGGCTTGAGGCAGTTGCTTGGATCTAAGTTAGAGGTTATAAAGGGCTTTTCACACACAATTAAGCAGTTTTATAGCCCCAAATCCATCTGGGAATATCCCTTTAACTGGACAATGTTATAAATTACAGGTTATCATATTGGTAGTATTGTTTATTGGTATGTTTGTTATTCAATTTAAATTATTTTTTTTAGAGCTGGACAGATATATTCATGCAGGTATTTTGTATAAGCTATTCCAAGATGATTGACTACAGTTCAGCAAAGGACATTATTTCTGGTTCTGATTTCAGAGGTATTTTAGCTTTTTTTGTTCTTCTTAAAATATTACAGCAAAGGGATATTTGACATATACACTACAGTGCTGGAGTTTGGGACTATAATCGCTGAACACCGCGGAAAAACACTCTATTTCACGGTGGAATCTTGGAGAATCGCTAGCGAAACGGCAGCTAGCCAAATCACCGCGAAATAGGGTGTTTCGCGGTGAATTATGGTGTTTCGTGGTGAAACACGGTGAATCGCTTGAGTGTCGATATCATCCCGATGTAAGCATGTTGACGAAAAATGTAATTTATTTAAGTTGAATACAAGATATGTTAACCGTTGGCGAGGCAGCTACGGTCGTATTTCTAACACACTGTACATGTATAACGTGGTGCCACAATGTACGTGTATGCAAACAATGAATAACTTACAATTTTTTAAACGTATCATTTCATCTTATTGGCTGCTATCAAATCCAAACTTTAAATTATATTCGATGAGATTTTACACATAACTTCATTGCTCGCAGCTTCAGTTAATCTAAATCAACCATTCATAAATCACAGTGCCATACATGTAAATCACTCCGCAATGCGGTTAACCGTATGTCACGTGGTCAGAAACGCGCGAAAACATGAGATGTTGGGTTCGACACGGGGACTATATATTCTTACGCTGTGTTACTTGGCGAAAAGTATTTAGCAAATCTTGACTGTCACCGGTATATGATAATAATGTATTATGACGTATTAAAATAATATGGGTGGGAGGGGGTACACTGCGAAAGTCACAAAAGTGACAAATAGAACTTGCAACGGGAGTCGAAAGCGCTTTCAAATCAGACATAAGAAGCTCGTACTTACCGCAAAAATGAAATGAACGCGACACAAGTCTCCGATGTCAGAGAATATTAGTAAAGTATAACCGCTATCAAATCCACACAAAAATCCAAGGCACTCATTTTATTTTAGAAAAGAATAACTGTAGGCTCGATAGAAAAGCCTATTCTTCATGAACCCCAAACCAATGGTAACTGTCAACTTGTATGTTGTCATTCTCGTGCAGATTTGTTTGAATAACAGAAATGTCCTGTGTATCAAAGAATAAAATCGCACGTAGCCACTCTTTGTTGTTTTTATGCGAATTCAATTAATCTAAAAGGGGAACCGGCTCAATTTAAGGAATTATTTTTGAGCCAATATTAACCATCGCCAATTTTTTAAATCTTGGGATAAAGTCAATTAACAAACAATACGGGTCTACTTTATTACAAAAACATTGGTGAACTTACCATTTTGTCTAAAATCATAACGCTAATCAACAAACAATACTATTGTTCTTTATTACAAAAACATCGGTGAACTATATTGTTTTTGTACATATTGTATTTATTTATTTGTTTGTACTATATGTTATACCTGATGAGTCTTTGGCTTAAAGGAATAAAGAATTTGAACTCGAACTAATCGCTGTCGGGATGGCGAGCCAAGCTAGTTGATTATTAGGTAAATAAAACAATATAAACAACCAATGAGTAAAAGTGATCTATTCTAATCAATTAAATAATATACAAGTCAAGTACCGGTATTACCTTAACCATGGACGGGTTAACGGACACTCAACTTACAAATATTAAATCATCGCCGTATTGGCACTGACTGACGGCACTTCGTGCACGGACTGTTGAATTCTCGTTTAATTTATTGTGTTAATTTCACTATTGTTTAAAATGTAAACAAAATCTTATCTCGAGTACGTAGTACCGTATATCGAGCTAGTCTAGTAAGTAGTAGGCTAGGTTAATCCAGACTAAAACAAAAGTCCTTTTATTGTATTAATAACATTGGCTTCTGCTAGACTCGATTGTCATCTAAGGGATTATATTTTCTTTATGCGGTCTATTTATAGAACAGTAAAACGATTGTAAATATTGGCGCGATAAAAATTTAATTATAAGTCAAAGCTATTGTTGATAGAAAATAATAATGATTTACGTGTATCATAGATAATATTAAGTAAAAATAGAATGAAAATACTGTTTGTTGTTTTTCGAGTTTTAGGCCATTATTACTTATTTTATGCATATTTTTGGTATGAACTTTGGTATGGACCAGTAAAATCTCATTCGGTCCAGCAATAGTTGGAATAATACCTGCCCAAATGTCAAGTAAAAAAAAATATCATTTCGCATGGACTGCAGGGTACATGTATATGCAGTAGGAAATCGACAAGTTGGACGTACAAAAGAATGGAATCATTCAGAAAGTGTACTCAATATAAGTAAATTATAACGGGGTGAAGACGAGAATTAACACACTCGTGGATATTGTATAAATATATGAGGCTCATGTAATGTACACGTATGTGTGTGTGAAATGGCTTTATTCAATATCTGCTCCCACCGAAATGAATTGGGTGACATAAAGTAGATGTATATTGTCACAGCGGATATTATTCGCCGAGTAAAACAGCGTAAGAATATACATGTAGTCCCAATCTATTGGCGCGTTTCTGACCACGTAACATACCGTTAAGCGACCCGCGGAGTGATTTACTGTACGTGCTGTATGGACGATTGATTTAGATTAACCGAAGCTGCGAGTAATGAAGTAATGTGTAAAAGCTCATCGTATATAATTTAAAGTTTGGATTTGATAGCAGCCCCAAATTGACGGATTACATCTAAGTTATAAACGAAGATGAATTGATATGTTTAAAAAATTGTAAGTTGTTCATAGTTTGCATACATTTTGGCCGAGGGTTATGTATGTATAAAGTGCGTTGGGGAAAAAATCCTAACCGATACAGAATGCTGGTAAGTGTCTTTCCGAGATTACCTAACTCATTTGTTATTCAAACCTGCCTGTACATTATAGTACACGTTTCCCTGGAGCATTACTATATTACAACTACTTTAATTTATTATAGACAATATTAGTTCGACCCTAGCTTAAGGTAGGCTCTCGAATTCCTTGCGGGAAGCACGGCAAAACACGATGTATTCTTATCGAAACACGGTGAATTCCTAGAGAAACACGGCGAATTCCTAGAGAAACACGGTGAATTCCTAGCGAATCTTAGAGAAAAATCGCCACGGAATCAAGCAAAATTTCACCGTGAAATCTAAGAGAATTCCGAGAGTTTTTTTTCACCGCGTCGCGGCAATTTCGGTCCCAAAAATTTGGGAGGAACTGTATAGGAATCCCTTGCTAGCTACAAAGTACAATAATAGAAATATCCGTCATAAGACCAAAAATTGTTAAATTTCGCTAAGTATTTACAAAGATATGATGAAGCAAATTTCCCTCAATCTAAGCTCCTCCTTCCTTATGTAAATGGTACAGGTACACTTTACTTTTTATACGCCCTTGTCCGATTTGTTTGTGAAGACTCTACAGGTCACAATTTTTATCCGATTTTTACTAAACTTGAAATATAGGTTTATATCCCAAGGATCTCGGTTCCTTTCTATAATGCCATGTATCGGACCGATTATGGTACCTGATTATACGCAAAATCATGTTTTTAGCTTGTGGACATAGAGGTCACAGTTTTTATACGCCCACATTTTCATGTGGACGTATACAGTACGGAGATTGTGAAAGTTTGACCAAACACGATATTACCGGGTTTTCTATCGTGAAATTCCATGATTTACTGAGTGAATGTCGAGTGACATGATAGCACTGCCTCAGTGTTGAAAACACGGTGTGATTCGGTGTTTTAATTAAAACATGCCTCTCGTCGTTTATTTTAGGTGAAATAGGATGTCAGATGTTTTGTAACCTGGCTGTTTCGTACTTAGTACGAAAAATCGCGTTTTTAGCTTGTGGACCCTATAGAGGTCATAATTTTTATCTGATTTAAAAAATCGTATCATTAGATCACCGTTACACCCTAAGGACGGCTGACAGACAAAATGGCCGCCATTCGTTCTCAAATAGCGTAAAAATATGGTATATATCAAGGTTGTGGACCCTATAGAGGTCACAATTTTTATCCGATTTTGTTAAAACTTGAAATGTAAGTTTGTTTTAAAATTGATATATGTGTTGTGCATTAGTGAGATGAAGAAGCCTATTTAATTTTAATAATTTCTGTTCATTACGTCTAGAGTTATTTATGGCCCTTGTTTCACTTTTTTGGAACCATGTGAACACTATTACGCCTAAAGTTTTCATCCGATCTTTGTGAAATTTATATGCATTATTTAAATTAGTGAAACGAAGAAGCCTATTGAATTTCAGTAATTTCCGTTTATTATGTCTGGAGTTATGGCCCTTGTTTCACTTTATTGAACCTTGTGAATGCTCTAGTGCCAAAAGTTATCACCTGATCTTTGTGAAATTTAAATGCATGATTTAAATTAGTGAAACGAGGAATCCTATTCAATTTCAACAATTTACGTCAATTACTTCTAGAGTTATGGCCCTTGTTTCACTTTATTGAACCTTGTGAACGCTCTAAAGCCAAAAGTTATCATCCGATCTTTGTGAAATTTATATGTATTCTTTAAATTAGTGAAACCACGAAGCCTATTGAATTTCAGCAAATTACAATAATTCTAGAGTTATGGCCCTTGTTTCACTTTGTTCAACCTTGTTAATGCTCGATTAATGATAGTTATGATCTGATATGTATGAAATTTATATGCATCATTTAAATTTATTAAACAGAGGTCTATTGAATTTCAGCAATTTTTTGTCAATAATTTCTAGAGTTATGGCCCTTGTTTTACTTTGTGAACCATGTGAACGTTTGAATGACAAAAGTGATCATTCGATCTGTATGAAATTTATATGCATTATTTAAATTAGTTTGTAGAACCTTGTGAACCTTCAAATGACAAAAATTATAATCCGATCTGTATTGAACTGTCTTGTAAAGGCAATGCGACAACTCTTGTCAACTCCTAGGACGATTTAGCTGCTGTGGGTGTATGTTTCGTTGCTTGGCAAGTGGCAACCTATCTATGTTAATTTACAGTATTTAATTTGAACATAGAACTAGAATACTAACGGGCACGCC